TGCTTTCATTCCTTCGTGAAATGAGATGATGACATTTAGCATACTCTGAGGTATGCCAAGCTTTTTGAGTACTTTCCAGAGGGCACTCATGTTTAAAAATGCTTTGGTTAGATCAATAAAGACAGTAGAGAATTCATGGTTCTTCTCACAAATATTCTCAGCAACTTGACAAAGTGAAAAAATCATATCAAGTGTTGCACAAACTGAATGAAAGCCACACTTGGATTCAGCATAGATGTCATCAAGGAGATATTTAATTATTCTATTGAGAATAATATGAGTGATAATTTTGCCATGTGAATTAGCACATACAACCTTTTCGCCTTTCTTCTTGAACAAATGTTTTATGCAAGCATCCTTGTAGTCCTGTGGGACAGAACCAACCTTCCATATGACTTTAAAAAGCTTAAGGAGTTTCTTAATCAGCGTCTTCCCAGCATATTTAAAAATTTTATGGAGAATAGCATCTTTTCCAGAGGCTTTGTTTGAGGACAATTGCTTGATAGAATCCTGGATTTCCTTTAGGCATGGCTAAAGAGACAACTGGGAAATTTCTGGTCGCTGATGAGTTGAAACAATGATGTTGTTATTGAAGGCAGAGGGGAAGTTAAAGACACTTTCAATCTTCTTGTCTGTGTGGAGTGTGCTACTGTCAGACGACAGAACAGATGAAATTCCATTTCCCTGTGGGCTGTACACTTTTTAAGCCCTTCATAGAATGCTTTGGGATCTTTTCTGTCAGCTGCCACCTGGAACTCCACAGCCTTAGCAGACCGCCATATATATGGCCTGATGATTGTGTTTAGCATGAAACAGACTATTGCCTCTGGGTGTTTACTTTTATATTTACATATGCTCCGTCCCTGATATTGAGCACTTTAACCCATAATATAGCATACCTTAAAATTATATTTTATCATCATATATATATATATATATATATATATATATATATATATTTAATACCCAAACACACTTCCTTTTACTGACAACCATACATTCTGTTTTCTTATTTGATTTTAGTGTCTCTAATTTTGTAGTCTATATCTTGGGCTTTCTTACAAATGATGTTTAGTCCTTTCTTCTTACCTTCCTTCATAACCTTATGTAGGATTTCCTGTAGTTTCCTTTCTGTATCTATAGAAATATATTGATGTTGTTTCATTATTCTAGTCTTTAGTTTATAATGTCAAACTATTTTATAAAAACTTCATAACATAACAAGTATTCAATTTTTCCTGCTAATGTCCCAAATCAAAAATTTTGTTTTTTTTCCTCTCTGATGTGATTGAACACTTTTAACAGATTCCAAACTGTCCATTTCTCTTAGCACTGATATCATCCAACTCATCCGCAGAGGAATAATTCCAGAAAACTATCTGATTGAACTTTCACCTTAGAGCATCTATTTCAGTAACACAAGGGGCCAATTCCTCACTCTGCCCATAATTCTACACCCCCTTACTTGTCAGTATGTGTCTGCAAACTGATGCACAAGAAGAAAGTTATCGTTCTGCTATTAAGTTGCACTCCATTGATTTTTGTTAAAATACTGTGTAGGCCAATTTATCATCAACAATCTGGCTCAGTCCAAGATTTCTCAGACTGTCGGGCAGTGATTGGCTAGTGCCAAAGACTGGTTTCAGCTAATCGAGTCAGCATCTAGACAAAACAACCAAAGCTCGGTCGATTTATTACCGATAACAATAGCTAAATATTATTATTATTATTATCATATCATAATTTTGCTTGTTTCTTTGTCCCTTAGTTAATTAGTTAGTTAGTATGTACATTAATTACATGTACCATAGACAGAATTAACTGTTTTTAATTGTTATATTTTGTTATTACCATTTTAAAGTAATATATAAATTTTTTACAGATATGTACAAACATTTTATGATATTTGTTGTTACCAACATTTGTTATGGACATATTACATATAGATTAAATTTTTTTATGGAAATGTACAAATATATTAGATATAATACTGTTTATTATAAACAGAGAATTTACTTAAATATTTGTGTCTATATAAATAACGTATAACAATAAAATATCTTAAAATAATTGTCAGACTTTGTCCATTTCATGGTGTGTGACGTCTTTTGTTTACATTTAGATATGGTTTGAGCAGTTATGAAAATTCAAGGGAAATCATAGAAAATTGTAGTTTAAAAGCTGTAAAATCGACCTTGTTAATCAGATGCTCCTTCATAGCTAAACTTCTATAGCACGTCAGGCTATATGATGGTTCTGTGTAGGATACAGGTTCGATTCCTGTAAGGGGGATGCTTATTTTCTATGAAATTTCTTGGATGTTCAAGCTAGTAAATGTTGTTAATACTGTTTATTATAAACAGAGAATTTGCTTAAATATTTGTGTCTATATAAATAATGTATAACAATAAAATATATTAAAATAATATGTAATATATGATCATATTGGTACTTAATGAATATTTATAAATTATTCCTGTTAAAAACTAAAGAAAATATGTTGTGTTGTAGAATTTCTATGGATTCAGCTAGTTATTATTACTAGATTTAACATTGTCCTTACTAGAGATTAAACTATGTTGCATTACTATCACGTTAAACAGGAGTTCTTAATGATAGTAGCTAATTGTTAACATAGTAAAGGACATTTTGATATTAAAATTTCATTTTGCTTTATTATTTTTATTATATAGTAAATTTGTTTTAGTATCTCAAAAAGTCCTTTTTGTTTCCACTTTACTTAAAACTTCTTCATAAAGAAACAGTTGAAAATAGTGAGGAAGGAGGACTTGGAGAATGTAACACTGACAAGATCTATTTTATTTTTCAGTGACTCTTACAAATCTTACAAAACAATTTGTAAGAATCGCTAGAAAATCCTTTGATTTATTAAGCTAGAAAGAGAACAGGTTAAAATAATTTTGTGTCAGCCTCACTATGATGTCAAGATGGTGTCATCTCTACAAATGATGTCAAGATGGCTAAATGTCTTACCTGAAAACCTAGGAAAAAACTCAATTAGTTTAGGGGTTTTTAAATATTAAACATCTTGTCGGATGGACAATTACCCATGCTGTTACAAAATTTAGAGGATTTTGCTGTTACACCCGGTATATGTCCATATATATTTCTCTGGCCCAGTCAGAACCCACAAGGTTTTAAAATTTAGTATGGGGACTTAGGAGCCTATCCCACAAATCAATACATTTACTTTGGGAGGGAGGTAGGGTTAGTCATTAGCATCTGAATTATCCCCAAAAGGGGAAATGCTACATGGTAGGTATGGTTAAGTAATTATTTTCTCTAGTCCCATGTATACATAAAACACCACATTAAACTTGGCCATATTCTACATTCTGTTAGAGTGGGTATATATATATAAATACTTACATTCACACAGACACACACATATCTTTTACAAGTCATGTCACTTAGGTGATCATTGTTCACTACATCTGTTTTTTGTTACTTTTGACCCTTTAAACCACATCACTTGAAGACTTTCAACAGCAGCAGCCACTAAAATGAATACATGTAACTCAAATAGAAAATAATGACATAATCAAGATATCAACATTTGTCTACTTAAAATAAAAGTGTAGGAAAGAAACTCCCATCAAATATAGGAAAAATAGATTGACTGATTCATTTTTTTACAGCTTATCAACCCATTTCAGGTTATTTAAAGCCATAAAATATTTTTAGATTGTAAGAATTTTTTGGGAAATAATTATGATTTGGTTATACAAGTCTAACTAACTAACCCATAGTTGGAGGGAGAAGAGGTGGATTCATATCTTTTTCAAGGGTATTTGTACAGAAATGAATATAACAAACTCAACTGGAATTAGAACTCAGCTCTTTGATTAACAATTCTGAGCCATTACACTACCCACACATACAAGCTAACAATGCTTGATATTCCCAAGCGGTCACCCATCTAGGTACTGACTAGGCTCGGTGTTGCTTAACTTTGACGATCAAATGGTAATTGGTGATTCAACATCTTGTGGCCATAACACTAATACTGGAAAGAGCAATAACATCTACTGGATTTGAGAAATCTATTTGCCTGAAAAATTGTTTCAAGAGAAATATCTTATAAATTTCAAGCAACAGTAATACAGGTTGCTAAGTCAATGAATGATGAATATTTCCTTATAAGAAACGGCTAATACTGCCATTACCATTCTTCCTTTTTCCCTGTTCTGCTATCCATTCACACAAAGTCAGTAAATATGTTGCATGCTGTTTTTTCTTGGTTCTCTTGACTTCAGTCTCCTGTGCATATTAAATTTTCTAGCTTCCTTTTCTCAGCATATGTCCCAGAAATGTTAATTCTTTTTCTGATTTTATGTATAAGTTTCCTTGTAGTTTTTATTTTCCTTAAAACTCCCTCAATGTTCACATATTCAATCCATGGTCTTCTCAGAATTCATTTGTAGAACTCCATCACTCCATCCTCTTCTTCCTCTTTGAAAAGATTGTCCAACCTTCCTAGCCATTATTTTGTCCCACGGGGCAATACCCTAGAGGATTAAAGCATTGGGTCATGATTTTGCTGACATAAAAATTGGGAGTTCAATCTTTGGGCATGGCAGTGTGTACTTGGACTCAATGAAAATGCGATGAGCAATAACTGAGCAATACTAAAAATAATAAATATATGATATACCTATATGGGCAGTGGAAGGAAATGAGTTCAATTCGGAATTCCCTGAAGAATGCTGGAGAGGTACAATGACCAAAATGCTGTAATAACAAGACCAAGGAGGAGCACAATAGTCTACAAGTAAATAATGTAAATAATAAAAAAATACATCAAAATTAAAAAATTCTATGGATGGAAAATACATTCAATATAAAAGAAGGGAATTTAAATTGTAAACAAATACTTTTTAAATACTAATCAAGGAAGAAATAAAAGCAAACAATCAAAAATAATCCAAAAGTATGATTAATTCAGATTATTATTTTTATTATTATAAAAATTAAAAAATTGTTTCATCTGAGGCTGACTTTTAAGGTTACAGAATTGATGCAAATTACATCAATCACTTAACTGAAAGAAACAAAAAGAAAATTCTGGTATTTTATTTTTGTGTTGTATTTTTTCATTGTTTAAACGGACCACACATATATCTGTCCTGTCAAGCAGTGTTCATGTGTATAATTCATGTGTGTATGTGTATCATAATTCTAGTTTGTCTATGAAAGATTCAGATGATAATATGTATTTGTTTGTATGCATCTAATAGGTATTTTTGTCTATGTTTGGTATTTGTCTGCATGTTGAATTGTGGCTGTTTTGTGTGGGGGTGAAAGAATTTAAGTTACACCAGTTGTGGTTGTAGATAGACATATCCTAATTTCTTTAAATATGGATCTTATAAAAGTTGATGATATAATAAAATACATTTGACATATGTCTATAGATGACAAAATATCTATCAGAACTCCCTCTAAGTATTTCCTGCATAATGAATTATGTTCTATTCTAATTAGAGTGGCATTTAAAAAATCAAAGTTATGACCTGTTTTTTTGTGTATTAGAAGTGAGTTTAAAAGTTTTCAAAATGTATAGCAATTTTTCTGTAATCTTTTTGCCAGTACTTGATCAAATATACAGCATTGGTTCATGAATTTGGTGACATAGTAATTTGGACCTGGCAGTGTGTACTTGGACTCAGTGGAAATTTGATCAGCAATAACTGAGTAGTACTAAGAATAAGATAATATACTTATATAGTCAGTGGAATGATAACAATTTACTCCTGTAAAGAGTTCAATTTGGAATTCCCTGGAGGTTACCTGGATTGACATATACCTGATGAATGTTGGAGGGTACAATGAACAAAATGCTGTGATAACAATACCAAGGAAGAGCACAATAGTCTACAAGTAAATAATGCAAATAATGAGAAAATATATCAAAATTAAAAAATTCTAACTTTGGCTGGAAAATACAATACAATAGAAGGGAATTTAAAATTTCTCATTGTCTACCTTACATTGACAGATCCAAATTATAGTAAGCAATTTATTACAACATACGTTAATTCATTTCAGACAAAAACCTTTTTTATTGAAAATTACGAATAAGGTATAATATCTCTAGTAAGTTGATACCAACTTAAAATCATCATCATCATTACCCCCTTGACTTTCTCTACAAATTATAATTCAATTTTAAGTTGGTATCAACTTACTAGAGATATCATACCTTATTCGTAATTTTCAATAAAAAAAGGTTTTTGTCTGAAATGGATTGTAATAAATTGTTTACTATAATTTGGATCTGTCAAATTCTTTTGTTTTACCAGGTCTAAATTCATATAGATTTTTAAAAGTTTTTCTTCACAAACACTACAATATAAATGGAAGATGCTGAATTAAGTATAATCTGTTTATGCTTGACTGGAAACTAATAAACCATTTTAAATACAGGTCTCTTCTAAAAACATAAGAAATAATCTCCTGGGCAATTATTCAGTTTCTTTGGTTGTATTTGAGCTCACTGTGAAAAACTGATTTCACATTTTGTCTATTTTGAATATCTCAAGAACAGTTTTTGCAGCTTTGACATCCACATTTATGTAGAGTCACTCTCCTAGGAGGTTACTCAGTTGACAATGAGTCACCTTTGAATGATTTTGTGTACTGCATGGCATTCATATTTACAATGGGTAATTAAACAAATCTGTAAATACTGAATTTTGCTTAAAACAGATATTTATCTTGGGACCCGTCTACCCAGATTGTAGATGCTATCTGTGTGCCAGTATTCCAAATGTTCAACAACAACAACACATCTTTTAAATGAAACATGAAAAAGGTTATTTTCTGAAAGAAAAATAAGAGCAGAACATCAATTGAAATAACATTTATATATTCATTTCGAAAATATACAATAGAAACAATAGTGAAGTTTGTTTTATAAAGTACTTAAGTGTTCTTAGTGCAGTGTGAAATGTATGGACAGACTTATTTTGTGATGGTCAGCCTAATGTTTTTGTATGTTTGTAGACAAAGGCTTAGTAAGCAGTTACTGGTTAATCCATTCTATTGTGTGCATGACAAGGCCTCAGTCAGTGGCTGCTGGCTGTCATTTTTCTATTGTGTGCATGAGTGTGTATGCATGTGTAGATCAAACTGGACTCCCAAATTGGTTTGAGCCTTGAGAAGTAGTATGCTTCTATTTTTATATCCATACTGGAATTCAAAATAGAGGTGCAATCTTTATGAATACAGTGTTTTTATCAGCTCAAAAATAATGTCACACTCTCTTGAAAATCTTTTCTCAAATTTGTAGGAGTGGTGAATTGGTGATATTGTCATTTTCTAAATGATCCAAAAATAACATGTAGTAGTTCTTTTAAAATCTTTTCATGCCTTGATGATGACTTGTATGACTGCTCAAGCTGCCCGTACTTCGAGCTTGCGCTGAGTACAAACTATTCAATTATTTATAGTAATTTATTTTTCTAGTCTTTAGATCTGCAAATCTTTTCATGCCATGGTGGCAGCCCAGGTGACTGCCCAAGTTGGCAATACCTTGAGCCAGCCTTCCTGAGGAGTAAGGAAACTAAAAGAAGCCAAATGATGATTGGTGCTGTGAGATGGTGATGATGTTTTGAAAATTGTAGGTGGCAGGGAAGTAAAAAATCAGAAAATTTCCACAGTTAAGAATTGTGAGCAAAGAAACGATTAAAATAGAACTTATAGTTACATTTAGCTAGTTCGTTAGTAAAATGGTGATAACTAGTCACCAATCTAATACTACACTTGAATTCAGGGAGTCAAGCTACTAAGGAGGAAATTGAACAATTGTAATAAAATTATCAGGGCAGTGAGAAAGTGAATGAAGTCAAGATGCCAGGTAAGGATTGATAACATTTCAGACCCCACTTTGAATTTTGTGGAGAATCTTGACATATATAGCTGGAACACCAGACCAGATATGGCAACAGTATTCAATGCATGGATGAATGGTAGATTTATAAATGTACAAGATGGACTCTGACAAGAGAAATTGTCAGGCATTATACAGTGAACCAACTTTCCTAGCTGTGGACCTAGCTATTGATTCAATATAATCTATCCACTTCATGTCAGTGGAAGACATGAGCCCAAGAAGGTGCAAAGAGCTACTCTCCTGAAGATTTAAAACATAACATCATCCAAAAATGGCAGTATATCTATAGTAAAAATTTGCACCTTAATAACTTCCTTTTCCAAAACTAAAATTTCCATTGAAAATCATGAACAAGATTAAGAAAAACATGATTAGGGAGAGTCTATTTAAAAGATAATATGAAGACAAAATTGCGTAAAGATTAGGTTATATCTTCAGAACATATAAAGAGAGAAAGATTTACATAACTCTTAGAAAAGTCTCTTTAAAAATTGAAAATATATTCCGAGGTATACTCCATAAACACTGATAAAAACATAGACACAAAATGAAAGCAAATATTAAGATTTCTCCAAACTGCATTATATCAACTGAATATTGGCAAATTCCCAGAAATAAAGGCTGATTTTAAATAAAGAGTAAATCTGGAAAACTTTTACATAAGTAACATTTTTGGCCTGGAGAAAAATACAAGGTGAACAGGTTAATTTAATTGGCTTGTATTGTAATTTTTAAATACAACACACGATCTTAATGGCCCAATATCAATTTGATAATTATGTCCTGTGAATGCAAAAAGAAAATAAAAAGTTTAACATCTTTGAAGAATAACTCATTAGTGGAAAGTTCATTTAGTAATAATTACCAAACGAACTAATACTAAAAATTAATTTTATTTATTTCGCATTACTTAAGGGTTACATGTACAAATTCATTATTCTCTTATTAAAAAAAAGTACAATTTTTATGAACCCTACCAAAAATAATTTTATAAGATCTTATATTGTATTTATAAACAACAAAAACATAAGTGAGACTCATGAAGTTATGATCAAAATTATTTTTCTCAACAAGAAACTAAAAAAGAACCAAAGTCAACTGGAAATGTTCAGAAAATCTAGCAATCAATACACAATGAAATCAAAATACTCATCGTCAACATCACAGATGAAATAAAACAACAAACTTCAAGCAATAAATAAACTGCTTACACCTGATAAAAAAACAACAAAGCATTTTAAGTCTGTGTTCCTTGTGGAAAAGAGACGTGTGTGTAACACTATAAGACATTGGCATATGAATGATTTGGTAGCTGGAGGCAATGAATTAGCCATTATATTTGCAGCTTCTTTGGCTGCATTCGAGGATACTGTCAAAAAATGATTTGACAAGATGGCCAAATTGTAAAGCCTTTGTTGTTGTGACTGTTGTTGTAGTGCAGACATGTATGAGTAATTAGAATATTCTCTGTAATCAGCTAATGGCCAATTAGGATTTGTCAGAAGATGATTTAGACTGGGTTGGTTAGGGTAAGGAATAGAAGATTGTCAAAGGATGAGGAAGATAAGAAGGAAGATAAAGGTGGAAGAGGAAGAAGAAGAAGAGAAGAAAGTGATAAAGCACAAAAAAGGAAAAAAATAAGATAAAATAGAAGGTTGGAATTAGAAAGCTTTAGAGAAAAAGGAGAAAGTAAAGAGAAGAAGAGAAAAGAAAGAAAAATGGGAGGGAAAGATATTATTTGCAGGGCTGAAAGAAAACACTTTAAAAAGTGACAAAAATAAAAAAGAGGAAAATGTTAAGAAAAGGAAAGAAGAAATAAAAGCGTTAAAAGATAGAAAGAAGAAATAGATACAAGAAAGAAAAATACATAAAGATGAAGAACAGAAAAAGAACTCAAAGTTGGAAAAGCAATGAAGAAGAATGAAAAATGAAGAAGAAGAAACAAGAGAAGAAGAAGATTAAAGAGTTACTGGAAGAAAGAAAATAAATTCAAAATGAAAAAGGATTTGAAAGAGAAAGAATAATAATAATAAAACAATAAGCAGGGAAAGAAAGAGAAAAAGAAAAAATTGTAGAAAAATAGGGAGAAATGTCGCAGTGATGAAAGATTAAAGGAAGAATGAAAAATAATACAAGAAAAACAAGTAAGGAAAATGCTTAAGAAGATATAATGAAAATGCAATGGAAAGAAAAGAGAATGTTAAAAATTGAGGGAAGAAGAAGAAGAAGAAGAAGAAGAAGAAGAAGAAGAAGAAGAAGAAGAAGAAGGAGGAGGAGGAGAAAACAATGAAATAAGGAAAAAAAAGAAAAGTGAGAATATGAAAATGTTTGAAAAAGAAAAGAGAAAAGGAAGAGATGGAGGGTTAGGGTAGAGGAGATTCCATTAATGAAATCTCTTGGAGAATTTTTCCACAGGCTCTTCTGATGTTAAAATCAGGAGGCCTATAGCCTGAAGTCTTTGAAGTATGGGGGCCTCTCATCAGGCTAATAAAGCAGACAATGTGTGCATATATGAAACCAGGAACATATGTGTATGTTTACACACACATTTATATATACATATATGCTAATATTCACAATTTGTGACCATACACAATGGTACATACCTGTATATATCTGCATATATATATATATATATATATATATATATATATATATATATATATATATATATATATATATATATATATATATATATATATATATATATATATATATATATATATATATATATACACACACAATTCATACATGTAACATGTTGGCTAACAAGCATCTCCTGCAGACTATTTTGTTTTGCAAATGAGTTTAGTCCTGACTGGATGCTACATTAGTATGACCTTGTACCAGACTGAACTAAATTTATCAAATAATATATAAGCAAGATTAAAAATATATCTGGACATTTTTGTAATGCCAGTACAAAATACAATTTTCTTATGTCTGCATTACATTGAAAAACAAGTTTCCAAATGATCACCCAAGTTAAGCAACATTGAGTCTGATCAGTACCAAGATGGGTGACTGCTTGGGAATATCAGGTGCTGCAATCTTGGATGTGTGGGTGGTGCAATGCCTAATGGCCTGAAATTATTAATCAAAGAAGTGAGTTCCAATTCCAGTTGGGTTCATTATATTTATTTATGTGCAAATATCCTTGAGGAAGTATTAGTACACGTCATCTCTCGCTAGCTATGGGTTAATTTGTAAGACTTGTATCACTAAATCAATATCATCTTAAAAAAATAAATTACTAAAAATTCTTACAATCTAAAAATATTTTCTACTTTTAAATAACATTCAAAAGGTTGATAAACCATGAACAAATGATTGAATCAATCAATCAACAAAACACAATTTTAATCAACTGCATAAAATACACATGTTCTGTGATATATTAGATTGAGTCATAAGTAATTTGCATTTTTGGGAACTAGTTATAATAAATGCATAAAGTTCTAAAGTCATTAGTGAAATGTAATCCATGGCAAAGTACTTGGGAATTAGCAAAGATGTTAAACACTTCACAATGTTCTATATGCTAACACTTAGCAAAAATAAGTTAAGTCAGCAAGCTGGGTGTTTGGGTTCTACACACTCTTAGCCAAAGGAACAAAGCAGATTGTTGATAAACAAAAATGGAAATTACTTATGGCTCACCATGTGTGTGTGTGTGTGTGTATACAAATATATATATATGTGATTGCAAAACTCAACTGAAGACAATACAAGCATAGCAAATAAACAACACACCTGCACTTAACATTACTTGCTTTGAAAATAGTCAGAACATATTGGTTGTGCTTTGAACACTAAACAAAAAACTTCAGTATGAACAAAATTACTATTACTCTTGTACAAAACTCTATAGGAAACTAAAAGAAAACATGCTAACAATAAAAATACCCACTCCCCCAATACTAATCAAAAGTGCATGAAACAATAAGCACTATGGACAATTTCTACACACTCATAATCCTCTTAAAAGTAAAATCGTAAGAATTCTAAAAAAACTGTTTAAAATATTTCAAAATATACTTTCTCTGTTCTATTCAATGAAACATGCATAAAAGAAGGATTATTACCCAAATATACAATATACATGATAAATTCATGACAATTTGGAAATCTTTTTTGACATGCAATATATTTAAAATTCCATTGGATTCTCAGCCAATCTTTACACACACAAAAACACACACACAAATTTTGGTTATACATAATCAAACAACCACCTTTAAGTAAACAACATGAAGTTGAGTGAAGAAATGGCATAGAGAATGATTTCCCAACAGTAATTTTTAGCAATGAATGTTGGGCTATATAAAATGAACCTGCTGACTGGGTGAGGTATTGGATACTACATGAAAATAGTCAAGCAACACAGCTTAAAAGGCAATAGTAAGTCGATGGAATAATGGCTTGCATGAGTATTGTAAGTAATAAAATTATCCTTGACATTTGATGATGGCATCAAGATAAATGCAGAGAATTATTGCAAGTTCTTGAACAAGTCATTTTCTCAGGGGGACATTTAAGAATCCATAAGTTAAACTTGCATCACATGAGACAATACTCCTTCAAATTCTGCAAAGCTGCCTGTTGCCCAACTTACCAAAAATGTTTTTTCAAAGACACCAACGTAACGGAATGGACTTTAACCTCTCCAGATATTCATCCAGTAGAACATATTTAGTCCAACATTAAGATATATATATATATATATATATGTGTGTGTGTGTGCATGTACTTTGCCTATATATGTGTGTGTGTGTGTTTGTGTGTGTGTGTACTTTGCATATATATATATATATATATATATATATATATATATATATATATAGATATAGATATAGATATATATATATGCTGTAAAAAAAGCAGTAATCATGAAAAGAAGTTCTCTGGAATGATACAAAAACAGCTGCAAGTAATGCCAAAGGTGAAAGTCGAAATATTAAAAAGAGGTATGAAGGTTATAAAATATCAAGCAGCATATATTATCAGGCAAACTGATTGTTGTAGAGTAGCTAGCACTCCTTCAGCACTCTACCAGATGGCCTGGCTCATAGACTTAAATAGTCTATGATTAAGAACTTCAACAGTTGGTTAATAAGTTAATACTAAACTGATTAATATTTGGACTGATCTTACTTTGTTTGGCTATACACAGCATTTGACCCTCCTCTATTCCTTGTAAGTTGTCTTCTTAATTGTTTTGTAACTTACTGTTCTGTTTTTCATATATATCCATTAGCACTGGATACTGGTGCTGAATAAATATATTAAGCACTCATTCTTCTCTGTGTATCATCCACCTTGACAATACAACACTAATAAAATAATTTATTCAGGTCTATGAGATTTTTTTAATCAAATATTTGTTTCATAACTTTTATCATTCGGATTTATTTAGAAATCAAATATTATATTGCATTTTGCATAATAAAACCTGTCATCTACTAAACAATTTATCAAAACTATTTTAATAAGCATAGATATTATATGCAAAAACTAATACATTTCTCATGTTAATAGATGCCTATCCTAAATGTTTTACCAACACCATTTTGTTGATATCAATGTTATTTTGAAAACATTGACTTCCATAATCAAATTTGATAAATGTCTATAAATAATGTTCATCTATATTATTAAATATAAGTAAAAAAAATACTTATCAAAGATCAACTCAGAGTTTCATAATTTTTTAATCATTCATTGGAACTCTTGACAAGAATGATTGAATTGATGACAGAAAATCTATTTTATAAATGCATATTTTATGTTCATGTTCAAATTTAAATTTTGCAGTGACAAATGTCAATCTCACGAGTAAATTGCAACAATCAGCCAAATAATCATCTATAAATTTCAAATTAAAGTTACAGAAATTAATCATGTAAACTTCTTTCAATAATTAATCATGGGTTTGCCGTGTGTCTTGATGAGAAATTAAAAAACTAAAAAAACTCGACCTTTGATAAATTTTGAACATTCTTACTTATATTTTGATAATAATTATTGCTCTAATTTTATATTGAGCATTTTATTAGCAGAAATTCCATTATATTTGATATATGTTAAATTATATAATTTTGCATATATTATTTGCTAGTTTTAAGAGCTAGTATTTTTTTAATTTATTCTATGTATATATATATATATATATATATATATATATATATAAGAAGGTAACTTCTTGATATTATTGGTGTTTAGTAGGATGATCCCAGTGTGTGTGGTACCTTTGAAAAGTGTCTAAAAAACTTACTAAATGTTGACTAAAGTTGTGTGAGTAAATATGTGTAGCTGGAACTGTTTGAAAGAATTCAGTGTTTGTGCTTGCACAAAGTCACAAGTCATCGTGACTGAGGGTTTGAGAATACTAGCCTTGTCCAAACTTTTGATCATGATAGACTATGCACTCTCTGCCAGAAACTGCAACTAAGGTCTGCTCGGCATAATTGGTATATAAATCACAAATGAGCCTGAGCAGGTGTCTACAACAATGATCGGTTAGCCAATCTAGTTGCAAATTCTATATTTGCATTAATCCTATATATATATATATATATATATATATATATATATATATATATATATAATAATCCAAGACTCTTGGCAAAAAGCAAATCGAGTTCTCTCAGTAGACACTGTGTTTATCCAAAAGTAATAACGTTTAAATTCACCTTTATCCCTGCCATGCAGCAATGGCTTAGGGGTAGAATCACCAACTGATGCCAATTCAGCCGGGTTTTGATCCTAGCTAGAGGCAACCGGAATTTTAGCCACACTGACGAGCTGTGATACTGTGAGTCTGTCTGTGAATGGCAATATATATATATATATATATATATATATATATATATATATTGCCTGAAGATTGCATTCAAGCCATGAAACGGACTCTCACTGCTTGGTGTCTACTTTTATATTTACATGCAATCTATCTCTGATATTGATCACTTTTACCAATAAATATAGCATACCTTGAAACTCTATTTTTATCCAGAGTTGTCCTATATATCTATATCTATATCTATATATATATCTATATATATATATATATATATATATATATATATATGGGGGTGTAGGTATGTAGAAAAATAGGAAAGAACATGTTAGGTAAATAATCCAGGGTTCCTTAGTATTTTTGTTTTTATTTTTTAAAAAACAGTGCTCCATACAGAAGTAGAGCTTAGATTATAATTATTTTTAAAAAATATGATTCCTTCAGCGAGGGAATCATATTTTTAAAAAAAATAATTATATATATATATATATATATATATATATATATATATATATATATATATCAGTTACATTTATTAAAATATTTAAAATTATGGCAAATTAACAGATTTCAATTTCAAGGTGAGCAGAATTATCATCAAGAAAGTGCTCACTAGAAAAATAGGATAACAATAGTCAATAAATAAATAAATGTTCTATTGACTTATCTTTGACTTACTCTTGTGGACAAAAATGCTCATCATTGCCTGAATGCTTAACCATTCAATATGATGAATGTGACAGTCACACTATAGACAAGCTTATTTAATAAGATCATAGTGCAAACTGAGTAGCCCACAGCCGAGTACATTTTCTAGTATGTTCAGTAAGGTTTTCTCTGATTAATTGCCAAGTTATCTCAAGTCTATCCAACAACTAGTTCTTGAGATATTTAAAATAACTCTTTACTTTCTGAACAAATCTTTCTGTATACATGCCTTAGAACACATATGTAATAGCATTCAGAGATAGACAGACTTGTTTTTTGGCTCATTGTGCAATGTTGACGTTGACTAAATATTTGGATGGTTGACAGCAACCTACATTCATGAATGTAAAATCAAACAATTAAGAAAAATCTTTAATATTGGCAAAATGAATATAGAGCTTTATTCAAACGATTTCCTTTTTTTCTTCAACGATTGGCAATAAGGAATTTATGAAGTTTTTATTATCTTGATAATTTGACAAAAAATGAAAGGATATATAACTTCAAAGGAAGGCAAAGGTCAGTTATTTATTAAACAAAACAT